ATGAGGGACAATAAGGTGACCATGATTATACCAAAGCAGCTAGGACTTGCGTAAGGCCACAAGATATAGTTGAAAGGACAATTGCCCTTGTCAAAAGTCTTGCGCAAGTAAATATTAATCTGCCAAAACAATGCAGCACCCAACAAATAGAACAAGTAACGTCCAGCAGCAGCAGGAGATATGCTAGGGAACCAACCTGGAGTTGCAATTTTTTTCTTCTCTCCATCACCACCCAAAACCTGCTCGAGAATTGCAGGCAAGAAGAAGCTAATGGCCATGTCAGCCACTAGGATAGAATATCCAACGCCACTGACATGAAGAAGACCAAGGCAGAAGCCCATGTTCATTAGGCGTCGCACTTTATCGCCCTCAGGCTGATCAGATGCTTTAAAGTTTAGTGGGACAAAGTCCCACCAGGCTATCGCACATGCCAACGAAACAACATAAAATGAAACGATGATAATTCCCGTCGTCCAAGATGATAACTCCGTAGTCCAAGATGATAACTCCGGCTCCAACTTCGAAGCTTCTTTTTGTTTGGACGAATTTCTGCTCATTTGAGCCTTGGGGGGAAACCAAAAATAGCATGAGGAAGAATTAAGGAATTTTGAAGCATATATTATTAATTATTCACTATTGAATTTACTTAATTAATTTCTTCATTTACTTCTTCAATTTTCTGACCAGATTTACTGCTTCTTTTTTTTAGGTTAAAGATCAAAGTAATTGCACTAATTTATGTAGAAATAATTAATAAATATCTTGACTCAATCATGGCAAATCTAAAAAGACAATCCCCTTAGACAAATTTACTCTATCTATGGCAATTGAAAAAATACATACACACATATACCTAAAGGACAAAGAAAAGCAAGAACAGCTATGGCTATTGGAGATTCAATATATACCTGGGGACGGCTAGAAGAAGGAAGCAACGGTTCTTTGAGAGCCATAGCTGACCACCAAAAAAACCAAACGACTAAAGGCGGGTGAAACAATCTCCAATTTCTTTTGGTTGGTGCTAATCACACAAAGCTAGAAGCAGACCCTTTTTGTAATGTGTTAGGGGTCATGATGTCGAGTCTCAACTAGGTTTCGGATGAATGTTTTTTGATTGGTTGGAGAAGACATCTTGTTACACAGGTGTTCTTAGTGAAAAGGAATTCTTTTATGGGTAATTACATTAAAGAGGTCCCAATATATATAAGAATTTGTAGGATTTACGAGTAGTCGAACCAGAGTACATTTCTATGTAGGTGTTTGTGTTGGGTTAGGTTTGGTGATTGAACGAGTATTTTTTTTTTTATAAAAAGTTTATAGTAGATGTAAGTAAATAGATATGTCAAATTGTTATTTCTTGTGTGTGCGATTTAACAATGTTTGTTTAGATGATTAAATAGAAGTTTGTCAATGTTTTTTTGTCAAAGCCAAAGCCTTGACAAAGTTTAAATCATTGACTCAAGGTGAAAATTTTGAGAGACAGAGTTGGTTGGGTGAGTGTGTTTTTTTTTTTAAATAAAAATGATATATTTATGTCAAAATAACCTGAAAAAGGAGTTAAAAGATTTATTTTTGATAATAATGAACGCAGTGGGTCATTGGGACTTATTATTGAAAATTGTGTTGAGTTGTTAAGAAGAACTCACTGAAAGCTGATTTGATATTGCTTAAGAAAAGTCAATCAAGCTGAATGGGCAAAAGAAATGGATGCTGAATAGATGATTTGGATAGCTATTTCTGATATGCTAGCGCATATAAGGAGCATTCTGATGCGAAAGCAAAGTTTGAGTGAGGATTGGATTTTGTTAGGTGGGGTGTCAACTTAGATATGTTGCATCAATTACATACTTTTTATTTCAAAGGGTTTTTTCATGTGAAAGTTTTGAATGAGGCTCGATCTTCATGTAGTAGAAATAAACGTGGGAATGGGTTAATTCATGTACTTGGAATGTCCATTCTTTGTCTCTCACAATGTAACTAAGTTATCGGTGAATGAATGAAATATACTTTCTTTCAAAAAAAAAATACCATAATAATGAAATTTGTATAACATTGTTTAACAAAATTGAAACACTAAACTTATTTAAGTCAAAGAAAAAGCTTGTAGTTAAGGACAAGACTGTGGGAAGTCATTGGGCCAAAAGAAGCTATGCTCATTCCTCGTTGTAGAGATTGCAGTACTGTCAGCTATTAGAGAGAAAGGTTATTTTGTTAATTAAGTGCAAAGACTAAATCTACGCTTGAAGTGTTAGCAAAATAATGAAGTAAATGATAATAAAAATTAATCTTAGATGTGATACATTGTCCTATAATTTTCATCCGGTCATTTTGTTTATTAAGTGCAAAGACTAAATCTAAGTTTGAAGTGTGATACATTATCCTTAATGATAATTTTTGTTCCTTTCGGAATATAAAACTCAATGCAAAAAGATTATAGTAGTTATCCACTAATTTGAAATGCGATACATTGTCCTTAATGATAATTTTCATCCTTTCAAAGTATGAAACTTGGTGTAAAATGATTGTAGTGGTCATCCCCCAAGATTCAACACTCTTTTTTATTAGTTTGCACAAACTATCAAGGATACTAAAAATGATAAAAGAATTAAAAACAAGAAACAATCCGGCAAAATAAAGAAGTGTAAAAAGATTATAGTGGTTATCAACTAGTCTGAAGTGAGATACATTGTCCTTAACGATAATTTTTGTCCTTTTGGAGTATGAAACTTGGTGTGAAATGATTGTAGTAGTCATCCCCCAAGATACAGCAGACTCTTTTTCATTAGTTTGTACAAACCATCAAAGATACTAGGAATGGTGAAAAAAATTAAAAACAAGAAACAATCCGGCAAAATAGAGAAGTGATGGAGCGGTTATCTCCCAAGATTTAACAGACTCTTATTCATTAGAAAATTAAAAACAAGAAACAATATAGCAAAGTAGAAAGGATATTAAGGTAGGAAATCTGCATTTTCTCAAAACTTGGCCTTATCTCGTGTGCACGTGAGCCCACTTTCTTTTCTTCCTTACAATAAGTCCATAATAGGTTTGGTTATATAAAATACTAATATCTTTTATACTTAGACAATGTGGGATATTGAAACCTTATGAGATATTATATGTCCAACAATCTCCACATATTTCATAAGGTTTCATATTTTGGGTCTAATCTCACTCGAGT